TGATAAACGATGATTCGATGTCTTCAACCATTGAATTTAAACAACAAATCACAAAGTAAATCATCAAGTAAAGTATCTAATAGTGGAAGACAACCATTATCTCTTCATTCTTCTATTATATTAATTACAACAGCAGATTATATTAGAAACTGTACATTGTTTGGAGGTAAAACAAGAGCATGTGTATTAGCACACTTAATCACAGCAGGTATCACTCCAAAGTTTCTTGGCTCTATCAATGTTGTGTGTACAGATTATGGACATCAGAAGAACTGTGGAAAGTTTTCTGTAAATAAACAAATGATTAGATTCACTGGTTCTAAAATTGGTCCAAATCCACTTACCAACGAAAAGTTATATAATTCAAAATATGCTATATTTGACACAACAGGACATTCTGGTGTTGATAATAGTACTACAATTACAGAAGTAGGAGGTGGTATTTTATCTCCACAAAGAGGTTCTCAAATGAATACAGAAAATCTAATTGATACATCCAGTTCTGAAATAACCATACCATCTGAAAGTAACCGTATATTTATTGGTCAAGGATCATCAAACACTGAATTCACTGTACCAGAAGTTAGCTCATCTAACACCAGTTCACAATTACTTCAACCAACACCTGGTTTTAATCAAAATTTAATTTAATAAATGAATAAAAATAAGTAATTTAATTATCTTTTTATAATCTTTATCTCTCCTGTTAAATTATCTATTTTAAGTACTTGATCACTTTCCATTGATAAATACATATAATATGCAACATTAGATGATGCATTAGCAGCTGTTTGTCTGAAAATATATCCAAAATTTTCTTTAGAATATCCTTTAAATATAACAATTGTTGCTACTTGTGTTTTAAATGAGGCATTTAACCCTTTCCATATATGCATATTTACAATAATAGTTGTTTTTAAATGACGTAATCGTGTAATAATTTCTCCCCATGATTTATCTTCTTTCATTAATGCAAATGATGCATCTTCTAATATAATTAATAAATGTTTTTCTTGTGGTTGTTTATAATATTGCATTAATGCTGGCATAAATTTTTCATAATTCATTCCATAAATAGGAAGTGTAGTTAATTCTTTCAATTGTTTAAATGTTTCATCTTCTCCTGCATTTTGTGATACATAAATAACTGCTTGATATAAATGTTGTATTTTACTTAATTTAATTAATTCTTTCATTATAAATGTTGTTTTTCCTGTTCCTTGTTTACCCAATACAATATTAAAACTATTATAATAAAAGAATATTTGTGGATGAACCCTTCGTATTGTATTTCCTACTTTAATTTGACTAAGTTTATTATTCACTAATCTATCTATTTCATCTATTCCTATTTCATCTATTACATTATCATAGGGACTATCATCTTCCATTTCATCATTCCTATAATTATTATCATAATCAAAATATTCATCATTCATTAAAATATCACAATTAAATGAAAATAATAGTTAAAGATTCAATTAGAATAATTGGTAAATAAATTTAATCTCTCCTTGAGAATTCCATTTCTTAATTCTTCATTATATTTTGTTTCTTGTGTCAATGCTATTCTTATCTTTTCTAATTCTTTTCTAAGTCTTCCATTCTCTTCAATAATATCATCCATAAGAATCATTGGATCATCTTTCATTTGTCGTTTAATAAAACCTACTAATTTCTCTCTTGGTGTAATCTTTGCTTTCTTTGGTTTACTATCTTCTACAATCTTAATTTCTGGTGTATTTGGACATTGTGGTAATTGAGTGGTGTCAAAAAGTTGTTGTGTCATTTAACACTGTTAATATGTTTTTTTCAGATACATCTGTTTATATATTCTGTTCCACGTGTCTAAAATCATAATGAACATAATGTTCATATAAATTCTGATACTTATAATTAAATATTAAGTGTGTTTTTATATCTGTCTATCAATGTTTAATTTTAATAATAGAATGGTTAATGTTCTACACATCTATATTTTTGAGAAGAATGGAAGAAGAAAAGAAAAGATATAATAAGTATAAAAGAAGAAGGGAATAGAAATAAATAGAAGGATAGATTAATAAGAGATATAGAAATGTTAATAAGAGATATAGAAATGTTAATAAGAGATATAGAAGTGTAATAAAGAGAATATAAAGTGTAATAAAGGATATAGATTCATTAATAACAAAGAGGGGATCATTAATATCATACATACCATTTATAATGATATATATTAGTATAAATTGTGACTGTATGATGACGTGGCATTTGTATATATTCTTATTGTCTCACAATTATACTAGTCACAATGCGCCCTACGGGCGCATACGACGCTTCGCGTCGTGTGACTAGTATAATTGTGACAATAATTATATTGGAAAAGAGAATGTGACTGTTGACGTGGCAATCACAACTTATACTAATATATATCATTATACATAGTATATAATATCAACTAATGAATCTATATCTCTATTACACTTTCTATTAACATTATATTATTATTATTATTATTATTTTACATTTCTTATTAAACTATCAATTTTTGTATTTATTTTTAAAACTCTGGTAGAATATCATTTATATAATTGTATTGTCACCAAAACATAATAAAATATATACATGTATTATATAATACGTTTTATTATTAAAAGTAGAGTTTGATAGAAACATTAAAAATAATCTAATATGGTATTTATTTGTTTATCAATGTTCTTATTGTTTTTGAGATGTTACATTATTATAATTATTATTAATTTCATCATCACTCTCTATATTATCAGAGTCTTTTATCAATGTACTATATTGTGATTTTATATCATTATAATTCAAATTATTATAAAATTA